CCGTCTCCACCGGGCCCGGGGGTAAGGCCGCGCCGCGCGCCCGCCCGCCCCTCCTCCCGCCGGTATCCCCAAAGCAACCACAGTCCACGTGCATGCACGCCGGCACGCAGCTGGCCTCTCCCAGGCACCCCCAGCCCGGACCCCGCTCCCACCCCCTCCCCAACTCCCCCAGGAGAAACTGAGGATGCAGGTGACTCCATGCAGGGGTTCAGAGAGGATGGGAGGCTCCAGGGGCGGGGATGGCGGACGCTGGCGGGGGGTCCCCTGCCACCAGATAGCGGCAGACGGTGTCCCCCAGAGAGATGGGAAGTCTTTTTCCTTTTCTTTACAACTATTTTGGCAAAAAGCTCGTAGTACTTTTTCCTCTGTTGCCGAAAGAGGTGGTGGTGGTGGGGTGTCTGCCGTGTCCCCCGCTTCCAGTCACCCTTTCCTGATCACCGGACGGGCACGGGCGGCGCACGCGGGGGGCAGACTGGGCCCCGAAAGGACTGGCAAGGCACAGCTCAGTCTGGGATTGAAGGGAACGAATGAATCCGGAAGACATGGTACCTCCGTCTCCTTCTTGACATTTACTTTTGAGCTCTCTCCCTTCTAAAGGGGGGGGTGGTGGTGGTGGTGGTGTCTTTCAAGTAATCCCTTAAGTGCCCTTTGCAAGAAAGAGTGGTGGTGGTAAGGCTCGGGAGGCGCTGCCTGTCCGGCGGGTATGATTGCTTCCTGACCTCACGGCCTGTCTTCTGCGACCCTGCCTCCATCTTCATACAGCAGCATTGGCAAGAGAGAAGTCTGAGGCTAAGGTTATTTTGTTCTGTTGTCAGTAACGTGAGTGTGCATATACATACATACATACATACACACTCACACACACACACACACACACACACACACACACTGCCTATCTGAATAATTCATTAACCTACTGATAAGAATTAAAATTTAACCAATATGGCTTTCTTTCCATTTGAGTTTGTTTGGAACAGAGTAAACCATTGGATCTGCATACACACACACACACACACACACACACACACACACACACACACACATTTAATTCCTAAAAAGTTGTCTTCAGTTATTGCTTGGACCTAGAACTTCTGATAGCTCCGGTGTATCTCCTAAGACTATCTTCTAAGCCTTAGCTTGTACATCTATTTTCTGATTCTCCAATCTTGTCCATCCCTTTATCATTTTTAGCGCTTAATCCCTTCCCTTCTCTTTGCCTTTTGAGAGTGATTTCCCAACCTGCCTGGCTTTCTACCACAGCATTTCTGCTCTTTATTCTCTCTCTTGTGATTTAACATTTGCTATTGTACTTACCTTTTAAAAATTCAAAATTCAAGGGCTAGGGATGTAGCTCAAAGGCAAAACTGCTTGGCTATTACACATGAGATCCTGGGTTTGATCCCCAGTACTGATAAATAAATAAATAACAACTGAAAACTCAGGGCAGAAAGAAAAAGAAAGAAAGAAAAAGCCCTCAGGATAGAGAAAGGAATAAATAAATAAACAATCCAGCTGGGCACCAGAGGCTCACATTTATAATCCTAGTTATCCAGGAGCCTGAGATATGGAGGATTGAGCTTCAAGACTAGCCTGGGTAGACAAGTTCACTAGACTCCATCTCAAACAACAACAACAACAACAAAAAGCAGGGCTAGGTTGTGGATGAAGTGACAGAGTGCCAGCCTAGCAACCCTTGGTACTGGCAATTGATCAACAGCTTTCATTAGGTTCCTTATGCTATCTTAATACATACTTGGAACATATTTTGAAGTTATTCACTTTCCATCTTTCTTTTTTTTTTCCTTCTCTGATCACCCTAAACACTCTCATAGTTAGAATCAGTGAATATGTGTGTGTTTCCAGTGTAATTTCCATATATGCGTGAAAAATATATTTGGTTTTTCGAGCTTGGCTTATCTCAATTAACATGGTCTCCAGTTTTACCTTTTCTTGCAAGTGACATGATTTCATTTTTCTTTATGGCAGAGTAATATTCTATGGTCTATATGTACTATTTTTTTTATCCATTTACTTGTTATTGGATGCCTGGGCTAATTCCAGTTAGGCTCTTGTGAACAGCACTACAATAAACATGGATAAGCAAGTACCTTACTTGTATATTGATGTATACTCCTTTGGATATATGACCGCTAGGGTGGTATGTTAGGGTCGTAAGTTAGGCCTATTTTCAGTCTTCTGAGGAACGTCCTTATTGATTTCCATAGTGATTGCAATCGTTTACATTCTCACCAGTAATGGATGAGAGTTACCCCACAACCTTACTAGCATTTGTTGTTTGTTTCCTTGATGACTACCATTTCCGACTGGGGTGAGTTGGAATGTAAGTGTAGCTTTCATTGGGTGCTGCTATCACATACCTGTAATCCTAGCTACTCAGGAAGCTGAGATTTGAGGATCATGATTCAAAGTAAGCTTGAGCAGAAAAGTCTGTGAGACTTTTATCTCCAACTATTCACCAGAAAACCAGAAGTGGAGCTATGAATCCAAGAGGTAGAGCACTATCCTTGAGCAAAAAGATCCACTCAGGGACAGTGCTCAGGCCCTGAGTTCAAGCCCTGAAACTGAAAAAAAAAAAAGGTACCTTTGATTTGCATTCCCTTTATAACTAAGGATATTGGACATTTCTTTTTCTTTTTGGCAGTCGTGGGGCTTGAACTCAGGGTCCGGGCACTGTCCCTGAGCTT